TATATAAAGAACTTATACAACTCAACAACAGAAAAACAAACAATCCAATTTAAAAATGGGCAGAGGACCTGAACAGACTCTTCTCCCAAGAAGACATATAAACGGCCAACAAATATATGAAAAAATGCTCAACTTCACTAGCTATTAGGGAAATGCAAATCAAAATCACAATGAGATACCACCTCACACCTGTTAGAATGGTTATTATCAACAAGATAAGTAAGTAATAACAATTATTGGAGTGGTTATAGAGAAAAAGGAACCCTCATACACTGATGGTGGGAACGTAAATTGGTACAGCTGCTATGGAAAACAGTATGGAGTTTCCTCAAAAAATTAAGAATAGAGTTACTATACGATCCAGCAATCCATCTTCTGAGTATCTACCCAAAGAATCTGAAAACATTTATATCTAACAGTATATGTACACCTGTGTTCATTGCAGCATTATTTACAGAGGCAAAGACATGGAAATGACCAAAGTGTCCTTCGATAGATGATTGGATAAAGAAGATGTGGTACATATATACAATTGAATATTTATCAGCCATAAGGAATGATGAAACACTGCCATTTGTGAAAACATGGTTGGATCTTGAGATTATTATGCTAAGCAAAATAACTGAGACAGAAAAAGTTAAGAACCATATGATTCCACTCGTATGTGGGCTATAAAACTGAAAGCAACAAACTGACAAGAAAAGCAAGCAAAAACTCAGATATATACAATAGTTTAATGGTTATAAAAGGGAAAAGGGGGTGATAGAAGAGGATAAAGAGGGTCAAATATATTGTTATAGGAGAATTGACCTTGGGTGGTGAACACACAAGGCAACATATATATGATGTGTTATGGAATTGTACACTTGAAACCTATATAATTTCACTAACTAATGTCACCCCGAATAAATTTAATAAAAATTATAAATAAATAAATAAATAAAACTTTAATGAAAAATTACATTTAACAGAAGGATATTAATGATGTAATTTAGGCATCTGATTGGAAAGTTTGACTTCATTTTATTGTTATTGTTCTAAGATGTAGAAGGGAACATTTTCATCATGCCACATAGACAGCTGCCTACTCCTTTTTTTTTTTAAACAGTTTCAATAGTCACTTTTTTTTTTTAAAGATTTTATTGGGGAATCGGGGGAAGGGGAAAGACAAGTTGCTGTTGTTTTGTTCTTCAGTCTAGTTGTAGTGGATGTTGCTTCACTGGCCCAAGCTGGCACCATCATTGCACTCTTCCCAGGCAAGTCAGATCAGTCACTGGCTTCTGGACGGCCGCTCACTGTGGCTGCCGGCTGCTCACACTGGCTGCTGGCTACACACGGTAGCTTATGGCAGCCCAATGCAGCAGGGGACTGCAGCCCATGCCGTCGCCGGCGACCCACGGCAGCCCAGCTCCAGGTCGAGCTGTTGTTCAGCATCTTAGCTGTAGANTTTCAGAACTTTTTCATTTCAAGACTGTTGTTTTATAGGTGGGGAAGCCTAGAGAGATGGGCTTTGCTCAAAGTAATTCTTTAAGGAAACACTAATAATAATAATTAATATACCTACTAAACTCTTACACCGTGCACCAGTTAGTCTTTACAACAGCTACATGATGTAAATACTATGAGTATCCCATTTTTAACAAAAAAAGGAAACGAAAAGGTTAAATGATTTGCCAAGTTCTCACACTACTAAGTAAAAGAGGCAGGATTTGAATCTTCTGCTTCCTACTAAATCCAAAGAGTCTTGCTTTAGAGATTGTGCTCTCTGCCATAAAGCTCACTAAAGTCCAGTTCTCCAGATTCCTGGATAAGTGCTGTTTTCCAATATGTGTAATCACTAAATTAACCCAAAGGACAAAACACAGAATAAGGCAGTGAACCCTCCACACACACACACAAACTCTTGGGAAGGGGGATATATGACAGCTGTTAATGGTGGCCTCATAAAATATGCTTGAGAGGTTTCCCTCCTTTTGAAAAATTTGGGATGGTTTGAGAAGCATACGTATTAATTCTTCGTTGAATGAGGAAGTTTACCAGTGAAGCCATCCAGTCCAGGACTTTTGTTTGTTGGGAGTTTTTTGACTACTGATTTGATTTTTTTTGTAGTAATCAGTTGGTTCAGATGTTCTGTTTCTTCTTCATTCAGTTTTAGAAGACTATATATTTCTTGGAATTTATCCATTTTTTCCACATTGTCCAATTCATTGTCATTTAATTGTGTGTAGTATTTGCTCATAATCTTTTGTATTTCTGTGGTGTCAGTTATCATTTCTCCTTTCATTTCTGATTTTATTAATTTGGGTCCTTTCTCTTTTTTGCTTGATGAGACTGGCTAAAGGTTTATCAATCTTGTTTATCTTTTCAAAGAAACATCTCTTGGTTTCATTGATCTTTTGTATTGCTTTTCTAGACTATTTCATTTATCTCTGCTCTGATCTTTATTATTTCCTTCCTTCAAATCACTTTGGGCTTTGTTCGCTGTTCTTTTTCTAGTTCCTTTAAGTGTAAGGTTAGATTGTTTGAGATTTTTCTTGTTTCTTGTAGTGGACTTGTATTTCTATGAATTTCCCTCTTAGGACTGCTTTCACTGTATCCAATAGGTTTGGGGACGTTGTATTTTCATTTTCATTTTTCCTACGTTATCTTTTGATTTCTTCTTTGATCTTGCTGTTGCCCATTTATTATTTACTAGCATGTTATTTCACCTCCACGTGTTTGTGTGCTTTTCAGTTTTTTTCTTGTAACTGATTTCTACACGAAGTTTCATACCATTGTGGTCAGAGAAGATGCTTGATATGATTTCAATCTTCTTAAATTTATTGAGACTTGTTTTATGGTTAACATGTGCTCTATCTTGGAAAATGTTCCATGTGCACTTGTAAAGAATACACCTGCTGTTGCTTTGTGGAGGGCAGTGTCACTGGCCTTCATATGTGGGATCCAAACTGGGGCCATCTGGCATCCTAAGTCAGTTCTTAACCAATGCGCCACTTGGCCAGCCCACTGCCTACTTCTTTAGAAGCATGAACAGATGGGACAATAGACTAAATTATCTCTAGTTTCTCTTAATTTGCTTCATTCCAAATAAATTTTTGTTGTTAAGATTTTTTTTAAGTTGCCAAGAGTATGGTTGAATATTTTTGCTGGAAAATTCTTCAAATCTTCTTTATCTTCTGAAAAATTTACTTTAACTTTGAAGCCAACTTTAGTTACATAGAGAAGTGGAGTACTGGACTGTGTTTTATAAACTATACCTTTAGGTTTGGGATAACGCAGTCTAGATTTATTAAATTTATGAAACAAAAAGAAACTCTGTAGGACACTTCTGAGAGTCTACTACCACTTCTTAACTTCACACCTGTGTAAATTAGGGCACTTCACTGAGCTTTATTAATTCATTCAACAAGTATTTATTGAGAGCCTTCTGTATGTCAAACCCATACTAAGAACCTCCATTTCCTCACATGTAACATGAGAATAATAATATCCTACTTTACAGGGGCTTTCTAGGGGTATACATAAAATATCTACCAAAGTGTTTGATATAGAAATATTCAATAAATAATTTCTTGTTTAAAAAATTAAAATCCACTCAATAAATTAAAGAGAGAACTGGGAATAAGTTTGAAGTATTTCAGAGAAAGATTTTCAGGGTATTAGAATGCAGACCATGCTCAAGGTTCCAGTTAGATCTGTTTTAAAACAATAGCAATGGCAACCAAAGTTGGTCACATGTGCTCAGTGCTTTACAAGTTACCAGGCACTTCCCCTCCATCCTCTCATGTTATTTTTACAATAAATCTAGGTGGGAAGAAAGACATAGAGTATTAGTCGTATTTTACAGATGAGGAAACTGAGTCTTAGAGAAGGGAAGTGACTTTTCTCTGATCTCCTAACTAAAATAGTGGCAGAATGAGGTCTCTGACCAGTGGTGAGCTGGACTCTGGCTTGTAACAGCTCTCAAGTTTCAATTGTGTGCATCTCTTCCCAACTCCACATTCTGTGACATCACATTGGTGACTTGAAATCATCCATGGTGAGAGTATTTATATCACAGAAATTGGTGAATGTTCTAAATTAAGCCTTTGGGGAGGGCTAGTTGTTAAACATTAACCAGTATACCAGTGGCTCCTCTCAGTACTTTTAGCAAACAGCTGTCAGGATGTCTTTATAAAGCTGATGTCAGTAGTATTCATCCTAAACTGGTAGTTTAACTTTGATTTCAACAGAGGACGATTTTAGCTTCATGAAAATATTTATATCACACCCCCACATAAATTATTTAATCTTTAGCTAATAATCCAATGCAGAAGTCAAAGCAAGTAAACCCTTGGGCCCAAAGAAGTTCACAGAACTTTCTCAGAGTCATAAATCAACATGAAGAAACCAAGAATAGAACCACAATGCTACTCTGAGACCCCACATTGGCTATTCACTGACACAGTACCTTATTAATTAGGGGATAGGCTAAGCTACTACAATAAAAAAATCCCTAAAATGCAAGAATTTTAAAGATAGAAGCTTCTTTCTCTCACCATAATCGTCTAGGGGTATGGGGCCAGTCCATAGTGGGAAATGACTCAATTCTAGGAAGTAATCTAGAGACCTAGGTTCCTTCTTTATTATTACTCTACCATCCCTTAGGTCCTAAGGGGTTGTCTTTATTCACATCGTTACAGCTGACTGGCTCACCAGTACATCTGCATACAGGCCTTAAAGAAAGGGAAAGAATAGAAGTCAAGGACCACGAGTTCCTTTGAAGAAATGACCCTAAAGTTACACACATCACTTCCACCCATATCCAAATGTCCAGAAAGTCATAGGGCTTCATCTAGCTTCAAGGGAATCTAGTAAATGGTTTTTAGCTGGATTTTATATGCTCTGCTTACTAAAAGAAATAAGGGTATACTGTATCCTGGGAGCCTTCATCAACCTCTCAGAAGCCTGGTTCCATGGGCTGGATAGCTTGCTAATACCTTTATCCTTTTTCTCTCCAGGACATTGAAGGTGATTATGCAACTGTGCTGAATTGGGATGAGATCAAGAGCCAGAAGCGCCTGGAAATTCACTCTTGGCCACATGGGACCATGGCCTTAGGGTGAGTACAGTACTTAGGAATATAGAGTCAGGGGAGAGAAGCACATATATGATTACAATCTACAGTGTCAGTGAAAGGTATGGTACCTAAGAGATGATTTCTCCCTCCCACAGGTATTCAGGATATGAGTGCACTTTTGCTCCTTATTGATGAGGGGCACATCTTGCCAGATACTCCCAGAGGCCACAGACCTTCTAGCCATTATATCCAAAGCCCTCACCTTTTCAAATTATTATAATAGCATTTGAAACTGCTCAGAAGATAGATTAACCAAGGTTAATATTGGGGATTAATGGGTATTGAGAAGAGAATGTTTCAAGACTGTTTATGAATATATGAAATATATGAAATATTTGAAAAATATATGAAACATTTCTTCATATATTTAACTCCTACGATATGCCAGAAGCTGGGGATGCAAAAAGAAATAAGATATAGTCCCTGTATTTAAGGAACTTAAAGTATAGATTGTAATAGGCTGTTTGCATGCTAGTTTTTTTCTACTGCTCTGTAAGTGCTTCTCATTGTTTTCCTAGGCTGGCAGAGGACCGTTTTCCACACCCAGTTTGTGGGTTCTCTAAAGGAAGGGGCTATACTATCTGTTTTCCTGGGCTCCACTTATAGCCCCTCTACTATAAAAAGTGCTCAGTCAGAGGCTGGTTCCCAGCATTGTTTAGGCACGTGGCACACATTCATTCATTCATTCATTCATTCATTAACTCATTTACTTCAGCAAACATTTATTGCACACCTGTTTTGTGTTGGGTGCTATTGTAGTGTTAGGGACACATCTGGAAAAGAGCGAGCAGGAAAATGTGTCACATGAGATGAGATCTTTGGGGTATAGAAGGACAAGATTATTTAGGCTTTGTGATCTGCGGATTTTATCCTGAGAAAGATGAGGAGCCATTGGAGGGTTTATAACTCTGAGGTTGATATGACTTGTATTTTTAAAAGGATCGTTCCAGCTACTCTATGGAGACTAGAATGTAAGGAAGTAAGGACAGAATTAGGAAGACCAGTTAGCGGGTTACTGCTCTAGTCCCGGTAAGAAATGATGGTGGCTTGGAATGGAGTGCTAGCAATGGAGATGAAAAGTAGACATATTTACTTAACATTGAAAGTTGTTGACCTTAGCTAAGTTACTAGACATCTCAGTTTCCTTATCTGTAAAGTAGGATTAATAATTCATACCTACAACAAAGCATTGTTGGGACCAAAGCAGCACTGGTGGAAAATCAGTCAAAAGCTTTTAAAATGGACTACAACTTCTTTCTTCAACCTCTGCCTTCTCTCTTTTTTTTCTCTCATACCTCACCTCCAAGGCAACAAAAGGAATTGATGAAGGTCCAAAGAACTATAATTTGTTTCATCAGTTCCCCAGGTCCTTGGCCCTTTCTTCTCTCCCTACTCCCTTCATGAGTTCACATACACCTATGAGATTGCTCTGCAAGCCCAATCCCTTTCATCAGCACCAAATTACTTGAAGTAGATTTTTTTTAAAGAGCAAATAATAAATCTTTCTTCACCTTCTAACAAAGCCCCTTACAAACATACTCACTTAGTTTAGGCTGCTATAAAAAATATCATCATTTAGGTGATTCATCAACAATAGAAATTTATTTCTCATAGTTCTTGAGGCTGGGAATATAAGATCATGATGCCAGCATACTCAAGTTTTGATAGGGGTCCTTTTCCATATTGCAAATGGTTGACTTCTATTTGTATTCTAACATGGCAGAAAAAGAGTGAGCTAGCTCTCTGACCTCTTCATATAAGGGCACTAATCCCATTCATGAGAGCTCCACCTTCATTACCTAATCACTTCTCAAAATCTTCACCCCCAAATACCATCACACTGGGAATTAAATTTCAACATATGAATTTGGGGGGACATAGACATTCAGTACATACACTCACCTACTGAAGTCCAAGACAAAGCACTGATGCCACCACACTGTTATTCCGCAGAGATATCTGACAAACACACACTTCGCTTAGCTTCCAAGTCAGGCTTGATCTCCTCCCTGACCATGATGTCTCTGTGTTTAAAGGAGACAGATTTTCATCCACCTCCCCTCTAACCCAAGTTCCACACTTACCTCAGGGTTCTGCTCATACATTCAGGAGGAGGAAAGAGACTGCAAACAATCTCAAATAAAGCTGGCAAGAGAACCTCATAACCACTGCCTTATCTTCTCTTACCCCAATATTTGGCTGTCACCATTAGAGCAGGAAAGACTTTTCAGAACTTTTTCATTTCAAGACTGTTGTTTTATAGGTGGGGAAGCCTAGAGAGATGGGCTTTGCTCAAAGTAATTCTTTAAGGAAACACTAATAATAATAATTAATATACCTACTAAACTCTTACACCGTGCACCAGTTAGTCTTTACAACAGCTACATGATGTAAATACTATGAGTATCCCATTTTTAACAAAAAAAGGAAACGAAAAGGTTAAATGATTTGCCAAGTTCTCACACTACTAAGTAAAAGAGGCAGGATTTGAATCTTCTGCTTCCTACTAAATCCAAAGAGTCTTGCTTTAGAGATTGTGCTCTCTGCCATAAAGCTCACTAAAGTCCAGTTCTCCAGATTCCTGGATAAGTGCTGTTTTCCAATATGTGTAATCACTAAATTAACCCAAAGGACAAAACACAGAATAAGGCAGTGAACCCTCCACACACACACACAAACTCTTGGGAAGGGGGATATATGACAGCTGTTAATGGTGGCCTCATAAAATATGCTTGAGAGGTTTCCCTCCTTTTGAAAAATTTGGGATGGTTTGAGAAGCATACGTATTAATTCTTCGTTGAATGAGGAAGTTTACCAGTGAAGCCATCCAGTCCAGGACTTTTGTTTGTTGGGAGTTTTTTGACTACTGATTTGATTTTTTTTGTAGTAATCAGTTGGTTCAGATGTTCTGTTTCTTCTTCATTCAGTTTTAGAAGACTATATATTTCTTGGAATTTATCCATTTTTTCCACATTGTCCAATTCATTGTCATTTAATTGTGTGTAGTATTTGCTCATAATCTTTTGTATTTCTGTGGTGTCAGTTATCATTTCTCCTTTCATTTCTGATTTTATTAATTTGGGTCCTTTCTCTTTTTTGCTTGATGAGACTGGCTAAAGGTTTATCAATCTTGTTTATCTTTTCAAAGAAACATCTCTTGGTTTCATTGATCTTTTGTATTGCTTTTCTAGACTATTTCATTTATCTCTGCTCTGATCTTTATTATTTCCTTCCTTCAAATCACTTTGGGCTTTGTTCGCTGTTCTTTTTCTAGTTCCTTTAAGTGTAAGGTTAGATTGTTTGAGATTTTTCTTGTTTCTTGTAGTGGACTTGTATTTCTATGAATTTCCCTCTTAGGACTGCTTTCACTGTATCCAATAGGTTTGGGGACGTTGTATTTTCATTTTCATTTTTCCTACGTTATCTTTTGATTTCTTCTTTGATCTTGCTGTTGCCCATTTATTATTTACTAGCATGTTATTTCACCTCCACGTGTTTGTGTGCTTTTCAGTTTTTTTCTTGTAACTGATTTCTACACGAAGTTTCATACCATTGTGGTCAGAGAAGATGCTTGATATGATTTCAATCTTCTTAAATTTATTGAGACTTGTTTTATGGTTAACATGTGCTCTATCTTGGAAAATGTTCCATGTGCACTTGTAAAGAATACACCTGAAACTAATAAAAAAAATGTATACTCTGCTGCTTTGGGTTGAAGCACTCTAAAAATATCAATTAAATCCATCTGGTCTACTGTGTCATTTAAGGCCGCTGTTTCCTTGTTGATTTTCTGTCTGGAAGATTTGCCTATTGGTGTCAGTGGGGTGTTAAATCCACTACTATGACTGTATTACTGTTGATCTCTCTTTTTATGTCTGTCAATATTTGCTTTATATATTTAGGTGTTTGTATATTGGGTTCATAAATGTTTATAAGTGAGTGAGTGTGTGTGTGGGCCCTTTAAGAGGATGCCTTCCATCTTTCTTGCATGGTCGGAATCCCTACTGTATTTTCACAGCCAGATGTTGTGGCACCAGTACTTGCCCCTTCACCAGTATTCTAGACTGGGGAGGTCTGTGTGGGGCTGGGGTCGCTTCCTCCTCTGGGGTGGGAACTCTGTGACTGAAATATCCCTCCTGATTCTCAACCACCACATGCAAGTGTGGGGCCACCCATTCCACAACTCTGCCCATCCTACTAGTCTCTATGTGGCTTCTTCTTTATATCCTTAGTTATAAAATTTCTGTTCATCTAGACTTCAGATGGTCCACCAGGTTGATTGTTCTGTAATTTAGTTGTAATTTTCATGTGGTAATGGGATGAGGCAAGCACAGTGCTTTTCTACTCTGTTATCTTGGATCTCTCTGCATCCATCTTTTTGATTCAGTGTTTTAGTTTTCTTTGGTAAATACCCAGAAGTAGAATTACTGAGTTTTATGGCAGTTCTACTTTTCAAGGAATCTTCATATTGTTTTCCATAGTGGTTGCACCATTTTGCAGTCCCACCAACATTACATGAGGATTTCCTTTTTTTTACATCCTCAGCAACAGTTGTTATTTGTTGACTCTTCGATAATATCTATTTTAACTTCTATGAGGTGGTATCTCAATTTAGTTTTGATTTGCATTTCTCTGATAATTAATGATGTTCAGTACCTTTTCATGTGTCTGTTGGTGATCTGTATGTCTGCTTGGAGAAATGTCTTTTCATGTCCTCCACTAATTTTTTGATCACATTGTTTATTTTTTATTAAGGTCTATTAGTTCATTATATATTTTGGATATCAACCCCTTATCAGATATAGCATTTGTAAAATCTTCTCCCATTTATTAGGTTCTCTTTTCATTTCATTGTTGGGTTCCTTCACTGTGCAGAAGCTTTTTATTTCAATGAAGTCCCATTTGTTTATTTTTGCTTTTGTTCTTTGGCTCAAGGGCACAGATCCAAAAATATATTACTAAGACTGATGTCAAATAATTTA